TTGATGAGCTTATGTCCCGGCGCATTTGGTGATCTACACATTCCTCGTTACCCGACACTGGCGCTTTACGTCACCTACGAAAAGTACTGCATGAAGGCAATTGTTAGAGGCACGGGTCAAGTCATCAGTGTCTTTAAACGTACCAAGAGTGGGCAGAGTGGGTCCACAGCTACTTTGAATTGCTTCCTTGTAGGCCTTCATTCGGGTTGTGTGGCTGAAAAAGACACGTAGAGTGAGCAAAATCTACTTCGTGCTTGGCACCATGTTCTGTGGAGTAACGTGAGTGAGAGGACAACATCATAATGTTAGGTACATACCGATAAAGAGCCAACCAAACTCTGGTCTGTCGCACGCAGAAAACAATGCCCATGAACCAGCATAATGTTCTGAGGATGTGACATTCCTGTAAGTAAAAGGCTGCGTCAGCCAAGGTTACGATTGTATGACAAGACTGACTTGAGCCCATTCCAAGACAAACTGAACCTTCTGGATGCGATCCTCTGTCGACTGCGCAGACACGATGACGTCCAGCTGCCCAAAGGTGAAGAGCCTTCTCAAAGGAAGCATAGGTGGTCACCTTCGCGCCAGCTTCACTGGAAACGCCATAAGTAGACTGTCCAGTTGCTTCCTCCACCCAAAAGCGTGCAGCATCCTCGGGCTGGAATTCCCGGTACTTCTCCCACAAGAGGACGGTAAGTTGATGAGCCAATAGTTCCATTCCGTGCGGAGAAGCGAAGTTTCGACAACTTAATCTTCGCATAGTCCCCCCTTAACCATTGCCTTCTTTGTTGCGAGGCTCCCATAAGCCTACAAAGCTCTTCGGCTGGCGAAGAGCCTTGGATGAGTTGAACCGTCTTCTCAAGGCGACGTCCGTAGTGTTTTTCAGCGCACGCAGCGTTTGCAAGGTGTCGATGAATTTCGAGGAAACACTGCGGGGGAGATCTCGAGAGAGATCGGAGAATGCGAATTGCAGGAGGGGTGCGAAGACCTCTTGGTCTTCCGAGTGGCGCCAATGAAGATCGACCCACTGGTTAAGCAGGCGAGCTACACGCATCTTGACGTGCATGGAGTGAATGGAAGCTTGGTCTGGAGACAAGCGACCAGGCAAATCCTCCTTGTATCGCTCCATGAAAGCCTTGAGAACGAGTGCTGGAGTCGAAAAGTAGCGGAAGCAAAGGAAGAAAACATCTGGGAGCTCCAGGTCGTCGTCAGAGACTACCGATGTCAGATACCTGACAAGGCCCTTCAACGAGGCAAGCTGAAGAACACCATTCTTGTCCAAGAAGAGTTCCGTGCTATCATCTGGGTGAGGAAAGGAATTCTCCAGCTTGCCATCAAGTATTTCGGAAAAGAGGGCAATCGAGTTTCTAATATTCGCAGTGGCGCGAGCATGCCCTCCGCGAGCTGCGAGTTTCTCAACAGGTGCCACTGTGTCCGCCTTTGAAAACGAGATTTTGCGGCGCAAGTTGACTGAAAGTGGCCCAAGGATGGCAGCCAGTCCCCGTTTCGTGTGTCTGATCGTCAGGAGCTTGTCAGGAGAACCCAGATCTTCCACCTCTTCGACACATGTCCTGTCTGTCGATGATCCTTCGCTAGACTGGTGAGTATCTCCTGACAGCAAAGAATTTCGGTCGGCGGCGGACTCCACTGAGGTCGTTGCTATCTTCTTCCGCTTCCGCTGCTTCTACCCTCCTCTTCACATTCTTCGGGAATGTCAGGAAGAGGCTTCAGTTGCTGCATCTCGCGCTCGGCAACTTGCATAAACCTTTCAGGCTAGACATTATAGCGTTCAAGTATTCGAGAGCCTGCAAAATAAATTGCCTTCCTGCAAACAAATTCAAATTCGAAGTCCTTATTGTCAAGGAGCGGCTGGACATGGCTCATGAAGAGCAGCTTGTAGTGCCGGACTCCGGATTCAGCGTTCTTGTAGCCTGAAGCGTCCCCGAACGTCTTGGGGAAGCTGAGACATGGAGCGTAGGATTGTAGTCAAACCGTGGAGAATGATAGGGGACAAAGAACGCATCGATGCAATGTCATGTGCGTCCGCGGCTTCGCGGAAAAGTCTGACGGGATCGAGGATTGCTGGAACGTTCTTTCGATGTCGAACTGTGGGGGGGTTGAGAGACAATATACAAGTCGACGAAACAGCGGTGTTGTCGCCCACAGTGTAGGACTTCGAGAGACTTGTGTTTACTGAGGTGGCCATTGGGACAATACAGGTAGCAGTGCGAATGGTAGCGAGAGCTGGTGGTTTAATATAACATCGGTTTTGTGGTGATGCTTGGATTGCCACTCATTGTGTGGTTGTGGACGTTGTGGATGTTGTGGACCATAGTTTTGATCCACAAGTTGTGCGTGTCGGCTTCGGTATGAGGGAGCGTGTCCACATGGAAGGCCAATGCAACAACTTGTATCACAGCCAAAGCAACTTCTTCGTTGAAGGCGCATTGTGGTATTTTATGAAGGAAAATTAAGGCATCACAGGCCTTGGGCCTGAGCTTTCGAGCAGAGACCTTTCGAACATGATGATATTAGACGTCACATCTTCATTCTAAGTGCGGCGTACCGGTAACAACTTCAGAATGACCTAGCTGGAAAAAGCATCTGAGGCCATTCGAGTCATAATAACGCACTGAGTCCTATACAATCTTTGGAGTTAGTTCTCTGGTTATGTGAGCCTGTCGGTGCACGTTCTGTATTATAGCCTGTGTAAGAAGTTCAAGTTGCATTCGATGATGTGATGGTGAATATTAATGTGACAAAGCACCATTGACAAAACGCTTGAGACCGGTTGTATTACAATCACATGCCGCTTACTACCAACCGAGCGCCGTACTAGAAAAGCGTCGTACTACTATAGTACTATTCTTGGTCTTTTACTGAAAGTTATCCCCACCGCTCATCACATCTAGTTTGCTTGCTCAGCCCGCAGACCTTCACGCTTACCACCCGCTTCAAATTCTCATACCAGTCCAGGCTCATTGTGTTGCCTAGTACTTACATCTCAACGCAGACCTAATACTCCAGGAGCATTCAAGAATACAATTTAGACAAAATGATTAGAACTGCATTGACTGAACTTCTGGGCATCCGTGTGTAAGTTAATGTACGTCTGCTGTTCGGAAGACATATTTACGTCTTGTTCCGCTCTCGACAGGCCAGTAGTACAAGGGGGTATGCAATGGTAAAGTCCATCTACACCGGCCACGTTCTCTCAAGAATGATCTGATTGTTGTACACAGGGTCGGAAAACCTCCACTTCCTGCAGCCGTGTCGAACGCGGGAGGTCTTGGTGTGCAATATTGCTAGCTTGCCAGCCGCATACGCTAAATTTTTGCTGTAGGGTTGATCACCGCACTTACGCAGCCGAATCCCGAAGCTTTGCGCACTGCGATTCGTGAAACACGCGCAGTAACTGACAAGCCCTTTGGCGTCAACATTACAATCCTACCCTCAATTAACCCACCAGACTATGAAGGTTTCGCGCGTGCAGCTGTAGAAGAGGGTGTCAAGATATTTGAAACAGCAGGGAATAACCGTGTGTAGTCCCATATTCTTATCAGTTACAATGATTTTGACACGAGTCATAGCGGGAAAGCTCATCCACTTCTTCAAGTCGCATGGGTGCATTGTGATACACAAGTGCACCACGATTCGACACGCCAAGGTTCGCTCCCTGTTTAATCAGATGAAGATGCATATGCTAAAGTGGGGCATGTAGTCCGCAGAACGACTAGGTGTCGACGTTGTGAGTATCGACGGTTTCGAATGTGAGTCCCTCATCTACCTGTTCAAATTTGATCACGACAATATTGTCAGGTGCTGGTCACCCTGGAGAGGAGGATATTGGTGGCCTTGTTCTGGTACGCTTTATCAGCGGTCATGGCTACCATTACATAGTAACAATTCACAGCTTGCAAGAGCCGCGCAAGAACTCAAAATACCCTACATTGCGTCGGGCGGAATCGCAGATGGCCGTGGATTGGCTGCTTGTCTCGCACTCGGTGCCGCTGTGAGTACTGTACCTCCCCCATTATAATCTCATTGATCACTTGTACGTGCAGGGAGTGAACATGGGTACACGCTTCATGTGCACAGTTGAGAGGTACAGTAGCAGCACCGCAACTTAGTACTCTTCTCACTCGCGTTATCCAGCCCTATCCACCAAAACATCAAAGAGAAAATTGTCGCCTCCACCGAATATGATACCACCCACATATTCCGTACCTTGAATAACACCTCACGTGTTTTCAAGAATGTAGTCTCACAGCAAGTCGTTGCTATCGAGCGGCGGCCAGGTGGGGCGAAGTTTGAAGACGTCCGCGATCTTGTCTCGGGCGCACGAGGCAAAGTTGTATTCGAGAACGGTGATCCTGACTACGGGATTTGGACTGCAGGTCTTGTACTTGGCTTGATCAAGGATATCCCGACGTGCGAAGAGCTCTTGTCGCGCATGGAGAGGGATGCAGAAGGGATTATCAATGGGATGGCCAAGCTGGTCAATGCGAAGGCTAAGTTGTAATGTTGTATACCTCGTTATCGTGATATCACCTTGTTGTTTGTTTTTCGTAAGTAGCAACTAACCTAAATGATATGTCGTCTCGACAAATCTGTCAGCCCTTAAGTTGTCGAATGGGCGATGCTATTGCACTGACTCCTTGTTATGGCAGGCAGTGTCATTGATGACATGGGAGCACACGGTGCACCACGGACAAATCGAGCGGCGGATAGTGAGCGCTCGCATTGCAATGTCACGGAGTGTGTCATTTCTTACCTGAAGGCACGGGGCACCTTTGCAACCTTGCATACTAAGTATAATAGCTTTGCTAAAATACGTCAGGAATGAGGCATAACAGCAAAGAGCGACACATATTATATGTGGATATAATAATCATACAGGAACAAACGACAATGTTGCCCAAGGCTCCTTTATATCCTTAGTCCATAGCATTTCGAATTGCACCTTGAGATTCATATGGTATCCAATCCATTGATGCATATCGCACGAGGCATGTTTCAATCGGAAGGGCGAGGTATAGCTGAAACACGCCTGACGATAAAGCCTATGCGCCGCCGCCAGTGTATGGTTCCATAATACATGTTTTCCAGAAGGCCGTCATCCACAGAAATGATACGAGAACGTAGTTTCCATGTGCTGAGTTTTTTACAGATCGAGTCAAACCGTTGAACTACCACTTCCATGGTAGGTCTCCCGCTGGGATCATCCTGCACCATGTCATCAACGAGAGGCTTCAAGAACTCAAGCCCCGATCTAGCCTTAGTTGGGGTCATAAGTAAGAAATGCAAGGTGATAAGAGCTGTAGGTACTCACATAAAAGAACTGTTCTCTGATGACGTTTCCGAGATAATAGATGTCGGTGGGGAAGGGATTCATTGGAACGTTGGGATTCTTCTGAAACTCTGGCACTGTTTTATCGCCCCCGAAAATGGGGTACTCCAGCGGGTTTTCCTCGGTAGCATCATACCGGCGTGACAAGCCGAAGTCGATTAGGTAGTACTTTGGCGGTCGTTGCGTGCGAGTGAAATGCTTGGCATAGCCACTGAAGTCGCGCTTCATGTGAGGCTGAACAGGGTGATAAGGTTCAGGGTAGAGGTCTTTTGCGTCCATCATGATATTTCTTGACATGCAGTCCCTTGTCTTGTGATGAGTTGAGTACATGAAACAATAGTATCACGCTACCTACCGATGCGCTACGTGGTTAGTGTGCATGAACAACAAGCCCTGTCATAGCATTGCTGAGACGATATCACATTCAAAAGTGATTTTACTCACTTCGAATATCTGTCCCAGGCATTCTACCACCTCGCCAACGGTGTCGAACCGAGGTTTCGTAAAATCAAGCAAGAGAGGCATCACGAGAATTTGTTTGTCATCCTCGTTGGGTACCGATAGTACGTCGAGGAACGGAACACAGTGGTTCTTAGGATCGGAGACAAGATGCTCCGTCATAAAATATTGGCCAATAACTACCTCATAAGGATGGTCCAATCTGTTGACCACTTTGAGAGAAATGTACGAGCCATCAGACATACGAGTCGCATCAATGATATGAGAGTACTGTAGAATTGTCAGCCACTTTGCAATGAAGTCAAACTCGTGCGCCTCACTCTGGAGATGTTACCATCTTCACAAGTAAAAGGGTGGCACTGTAAGGCTTCCCATGATGGCACCCAATCCGGAGCGTACCGAGGCCGAAGCAAATACCCTTTACCCTTTAGCCATTGGTATTGTTGACACCACCAAATTTCGTATCCAGTCAAAGCTCCTGGTCTGCGTTCGCGTTCCGCTCCAAAAGCTTCGAACTCTCTTTGAGCTCTGAGAGCCTCGCGTCTCTCAAGTTCCGCTGCCTCTGCTGCCTTGCGTTCTGTCTTTGTCTTTGTCTTCGCACTCTTCTCCATCGAAGTCACGTTGTTGCTTGGAGTTGGTTTGAAATATAACTAGTCGCAACCAAAGCTAAATCAGTATAGTGACGGTACTACGTGCCCAATGAGTAAGTCTTATGATACCTCACCGACTATAATTAGGCTCTGTCGGAAATTTCTAGCGAGCCTCTGAAGCCAATTGAAAGCGCAAAGAATCTACTGAGATACTTTCAACTCGACATGCACCTCCTTCGTGCCCCTGGGAATACGGATGCAATGCAGTCGTGTCCCAATGTGGAATGCTGTGCGACCTGGAAATGTCCGACAAAGTATCCTAAGCGCTTTGAGCATCATTTGAATTTAATAGTATATTATACCCGTCTACGTACAATTATGATGGACCCCCAGAAACCAACGCCATGCAGATCCGTTTTATTTTCAGCGCTTTATTTTTTTACATGAAAACTACCTTGTTTGCACAAGTACTTAAATGTAAGAGTCATGGGATTGGTATTTAATTGATTAATCCCTCAATCACACAGGAAATTATGCCCTCTGAGCCAGAACGTCAAACCCTTCTCATTCCTCTTAACCTTGGCACACCTGCTCAATATGATCCCTCTATCTTCCCTGTCATGAGACTGAAAGATACAAGCACTCTTGGGCAGGTTGGTATTGTCCTTGAAGCGACGCTGGACGAAGTATTCAAGATACACAAGATGGCCACCGATAAGAAAAAGATACAAGACCTACTTGCCGAGACGAAGGCCTCGTATGACACGTATATCGAGTCTTTGCACAGATGCTCATCCCAAATTCTGATTTGTCGTATTTCAGTCTGGTTTTAAAAAAGGAGGAACTGCAGAGGCAAAAGAAATCATTCAATCCAGTGAAATTATTCTCGGCATATCGTTCAACTCGGTTACTTGTTGAAGCAGTGAAAGAGTTGTACACGGATACTAGGGTAATACCAGCTGCCCAATTTTATCCAAAATCTGATGCCGATAGTTTTGCAGACCACATCAGAGAAGATCAGAAGGCAACTGCTCTCTATTACGTCTGCAGAAGTCGAGAATGTACAGTGTCTGCAACTTCTTGCTCATTCTGCTGGATCGCTCGAACTGAATATCTACCCAGATGATGACTTACCATCTGATGCTCGTGTTAGCGGAATCGCTATCCCACTGGAGTCACCATTGGATCAATCCACAGCTTCGTTTTTCAGCGAAGCTGCGAATTTCATTGTATCTCAAGTGAACCTGCTCTCCGAGGAAAATCCCTTTGCTGATGACCATCAAGTAGAAGACTGTAAGAATGTTATATCCGCCTAGTGTCTCTTTACTTACGTGCATGATCGTAAGCAGGTGTCTGTGCGAAAATTAGACACGGCTCAACTGCAGGCTCGGCAACTGGTGATGGAGTTGCGCTACCAGGTAATTCTCATATGTCCGTATCATCTTCGTCGATATTCGGTAACAACCACTTCATTTTCAATAATAGTTATGTTGCCTCGGGATCTGTCATGAACACACCAACCTCGAACCATGGTAGTTCAAATAACCAAGGGTCGTGTTCGTACCCTTCTCATTTATCTTGTGTCGTTTTCCTCTAATGATTTATTTTGGCTGCTCGCCGCTAGTACTGTCGATTTCTAAATCCTGTCCTTGTACCATGGTGTCTTATACCTCACTGTTGTTCTGATTACTTTCCCGTGTTATTTTCTGTTATACCTGTAGGTCAAATCATCGCAGAACCCTGTGAAGCAGCTAACACAAAAGTTATGAAAGAAGTAGTGCAGTTCGTGGAAGTAACGCGTCACACTCATCGAAAGTTTAATGTTCCAAACGTGTTCTGCACATTCAAGTTGAGACTGAGGGCCGCAAAGTCGCCAACTATGTAATTATAAACCTCATTTGATATTTATGCTATGTAAATGACAAACTAACCAAGCGAAAAATAACGATGCATAAAGGGGAGTGGTGTACGAGCAAGGATAGGCTCTATAGAGGCTATGCCGAACTCGACGTTCATCGGAAGATAGGAAACCAAACGAAGAACTCAGCTGGTGCCGGGATGCTCCTTTACATTACCCAATGGACCTACAAGATCTTTCCAATTTAAGCGCTCACCGACTCTATGCGCTAGCTTCCATACTACAAGATTGGAACAAGTTCGTTTCTGACAATAAAAATACAATTCTTGCTTGAATTGAAAGCAATCCCTGTCACATTCTAGACTCCGAGAGTCACAATGACCTCTCCGCATGTGAGTGTTCGGCATGAAACAATGAGAAGAGACTCACATGGCATCTAATACTGCGCACATCGCACGAGTTATGCTTCAATCGAAAGGGCGATGTATAGCTGGAACACGCCTGACGATAAAGCCTATGCGCCGCCGCCAGTGTGTGGTTCGATAATACATGTTTTCCAGAAGGCTGTCCTCCATAGAAATGACACGGGAACGCAGTTTCCATGCGCTGAGTTTTTGACGGATCGAGTCAAACCGTTTGACTAACACTTCCATGGTAGGTCTCCCACTGGGATCATCCTGCACCATGTCATCAACAAGAGGTTTCAAGAAATCTAACCCTGATCTGGCCTTAGTTGGGGTCATAAGCAACAAACCCGAGGTAATGAGATTTGTAGGTACTCACATACAAAAACTGTTCTCTAATGACGTTTCCGAGATAATAGATGTCAGTGGGAAAAGGATTGATCGGAACATCGATATTCTTCTGAAATTCTGGCACTGATTTGTCGCCCCCAAATATTGGGTACTCCCATGGGTTCTCCTCTGTGGCATCGTACCACCGTGATAAGCCGAAATCGATTAAGTAGTACTTTGGCGGCCGCTGAGTGCGAGTGAGATGGTTCACATAGCCACTGAAGTCACGTTTCATATGAGGCTGAGCAGGGTGATACGGTTGAGGGTAGAGATCTTTTGCGTACATCATGATATTTCTGGACATGCAGTCGCTTGTAATGTAATGAGTTGAGCACATAAGACAATAGCATCGCGTTACCTACCGGTGCGCTACGTGATTAGTGTGCATAAACAACAATCCCTGCGATATATTACACGAACGGTATCACATTCAGAAACAATTTTACTCACTTCAAATAACTATCTAAGGCATTCCACCACCTCGCCAACGGTGTCAAATCGAGGCATCGTAAAATCAAGCAACAGAGGTGTCATGAGTATATGTTTTCCATCTTCATTGGGCACTGATAGTACATTGAGAAATGGAACACAGTGGTTCTTGGGATCGGAGGCAAGGGGCTCCATCATGAAATATTGACCGATTTCTACCTTGTGAGGGTGTACCGATCTGCCCATGACTTTGAGGGAAATGAACAAGCCATCAGATATGCGGGTCGCATCCATTATCTGAGGAAACTGTGGCATTGTAAGTTGCTTGGGGATGCAATCAAACTCTCATTCGCCTCACTTGGGATATGTGACCATCCTCACAAGTAAAAGGGTGACGTTGTGAACCCTCCCATGATGGTACCCATTCCGGGGCGTATCAAGGATGAATTAAGTACCCATGATCCTTTAGGAATTGATACTGTTGACACCACCAAACTTCACATATGGACAAAGCTCCAGGTCTCTGTTCGCGTTCCACTCTGAAAGCTTCAAATTCTCTTTGAGCTCTGAGAACCTTGAGTCTCTCAAGTTCTGCGGTTTTCTTTTCTGTCTTCATCTTGGCTTTCAGACTCTTGTCCTTCAAAATCACAGCGTCATGCATGCAGGTTGAGGTACAAGCCAGGGGGTAAGTTTCTATATTACTTCCGATATTTGGAAACATAAACAATCGTACACAGCTATCCGGTACTAGTACATATGTACCAAGTACGTACTTTGTAGTATGCGTACAATACGGGCCATTCCAAAATCACAATCGACCACCAGAAACCGTTCATTCCGACTCGCCGATGCCTATGTACAATCTGATTTATTTTCAGCATTAAGTATCATTCTATGTAGTACATATAATTATAATGTAAATAGTATACAGTGTATGACGTTTTCCACGTTGATTGAGTGCCAGGGGGCGACTCATGTCATGCTACAACTAGGACTTGAACTCCGCGCGACTCGGAGTTGTAGCGTGTACAGCTGTCTTTCAAATGTCAGTTTACCTCCGCGTTGGAGGTAAATATCACTTGTGCTGTTTGTTTCGCTGTTTTTATGTACAAGTGCTCAGAACTTATGCTACGTAAGTCAGGCCTTGAGTCAGGGACGTACAACGGCAACCTGCGATGAAAAGGAGAAAGGTACGTCAACAGTCCAGGTTTGACTTCAACTTCGGACTAAATTCGAGGCTGAATATTGAAAAACACGCGCATGATAGTATACAACGATACGGGGAAGCAGCCCGAGCTCATCGACATCTATCACGCATGGGAATACAACAACGGTTGAATTTGTTCAAGGTTTCGATGTGGCCAAAATCGTGATAATTGATCATGTCATGGCATGGCATATGCATAGCATCGCGATGCCGTCAGTAGTTAAGTTCTTTTATCTATACAATAAGATGTTATTGTACCTGACTCTGAGTTCAACGTCCTCAGGCTATGTTCTTACTCACAACAACACTTACAACACCGTGACGGCTCCGCAAGCTGCGACACATTTGTACTGCAGCATGTTGAAACTGATGGGATCCCAAAAAATAATTCAGTGGAGGAGCTTGACAGGTTTGGTGTCCTGCAAATGAGGCGACCGTTTTTGGCTTAGTGGTGCTGGCAACGAATCACGATTGTAACTTTGTGGGTGCTGATATCTTGCCACCGCCTTAGAACTGCCATCACGATCGTTTCTCGTAAGTTGTTAAGGTGGCCGCTATCGGTGTTGTTGTTCTTCAATACCACGAATGAAACTTGAGGCCAAATACTATCGGTGGTTTCTTTCCAGTACTAATCTTGCAGAAGTATAAATATGGGACTAGTCGGAGGTGAGTAGTCCCCATCAACATACTCTCAATAATTCACCAGATCACCAGACTAAGACCATATCGCTGCATCATGTTTTCCTTCTGGAAATACTTTTTCGCTTCACCAGCTTCAGAATCTTCGGGTAGGTGCTATCCATTGTTGCTGTTGCTGAAGACTAAGTTCTGGACACCAGCTGATACCAACACCGGCGTTGAACCCGGCCCCGAGTCATCTAGTGAAAACTCATCATCTGAAGGTCACACGTCGCTTCAGTCTGACTCCATCACGACGAGTGGTAGTTCGACATCAACCGATACAGATGGTCCTGCGGCCTCCACCAATACTTCTGTGACCGAGCAATCCACCGTTAATGCTGCCATAGGTACGTGCACGATGCTCTTACCTCCAGTTCGATACTGACATCATGCAGTACCACCCCCGGCTCAGGATAATCTACGTGCTCGACTGCGTGACATAGACTGCGTGGACTTTGATTGCAACTCGAATGTTGGGTCACCCACCATAAATTTTGACTCGGATGAAGCTACTGGAGCAAGTGAGCGACACATTTCTGAACCCGTCGCTGTCGTGTGCTGATCAGTCATCTAGCATTCACCACTCCACAGAACATGTTCCGACCACAGCGACCGCCCTCCACAGTGGCTCATCGCCCTCAAATGGTTCACGCAAGAAGGCGTGAGCGAGTCACGTACTTTGGCCCTGGAACTGAAGTGGATAGCCCGACTATCAATATCCGATCTAAGCGTGCTTCCGGTGCCAGTGAGTACACTTGTTGACGTGATATAAATTCTGTATTGATTAGACTACTAGTGTATAATAATAATTGATACGGTCGTTCCTAATAGTAGTCACCAGTATCATAGCTTGAAGTAGGTGGAAATGTGTTAGTGACCGCATGTTGGCAATTTTGCACGAGATATTTACTATGGGTCTGTCTTGAACCTGGCGCCAGTTCTAAGAATGCGACACAAGTTATTTAGATCCTTCAAACTCATTGGCAGCTGAATCGGATGAGAAAATGTAATTTATACTAACAACTGTTGCTCGGCACTCGGTTGCTCTAGAGTAGACGGGGCCAACCCGACTGCTTTGTTAGATTTGACTTCTGCCGATCAAGCTGGAAATGATGGTTCGTAATGATGGATAAACATGCGGAAGAAAAGTCTGACAGTTCCCGTCATATTGCCAATTTTCGTCGTGAAGAAACAGGAGATAAGCCCTCTAGTTTATACTTTGCATGAGTATGATGTATCTCGTAGACTACGGCACCTCAAAGACAAAGCGAAAATTCACTCAAGTAGCTGCAAGTCACAGTAGTCGCTGGCTTAAAGATAGAGATCGTTCGATTGATACCCATCGAGAACAACAATGAACTCACCACATATCATACAAAATCCGCTGAGCAGACCCGCTGATATATGACCCCAATAGCGTCAAAACTGCAGCGCATTTGAGAATATTCTTGACGGCCCTTCTTCGTCTTGCCCACACCCACTTCTCAGCGCTGACTGCCGTATAGTGATCCCAGTTCGGTCTACGAAGTAACCACCACAAAACTGTCCCATGCCAAGGAAACGGATAGAATAGCTTGCCTGAACCGTTCGTACGCACCCAGGAACTGCAGTGCGCGTACACCGAACGA